TCATGCTTGTAATCGTAGCATTTTGAGAAGCTGAGACAGGTGGATCACCTGAGATCAGGGTTTGAGACCAGCCTGGCCAAAATGGTGAAACCCCATCACTACTGAAAATACAAAAAATTAGCCAGGTGTGGTGGCAGGTGCCTGTAATCTCAACTATTTGGGAGGCTGAGGCAGGAGAATCTCTTGAACCCAGGAGACAGAGGTTGCAGTGAGCCAAGATCACACCATTGCACTCCAGCCTGGGCAACAAGAGCAAAACTCTGTCTCAAAAAAAAAAAAAAATATGCTCTTTCAATGTGAGTTTATTATTTTGACATAATAAAAAGAAGGGAATTGCATGCATGCATGCATTTATTCATCCATTTTTTCCATTAACAGTTTCTGATTACCTGCTATGAGCCAGGCATTGTGCTAAGTGCTGGAATAACAAAATAAACAAGACCTGGTTTCTGCCTGGTAGGAGTTTACAGGCCAGTGGAGATGGTTGTCAAGATAATGTCTAGTCCAGTCAATGCTGTGCTGGAGCTGGTTCATTCAGGCTTATAAGAGCTGACTGTTAAATTTTTAGAAATTCTGTCAGTGGGTTGCTAAACATGGCCATTACTAAAAATTAAGTTATATGGTAGTTGGCTCCTATTATTTGCAGATTCCATATTTGTGATTTTCTTACTTGCTAAAATTTAGCAAATTTGCCAAATCAATACTTGTGGTCATCTGTGGACATGTACATGTGCAGACTTGCGAAAAATTTGAGTTGCCCGACGTGCACGTTCCCAGCTGAGGTTGAACAAGGGCTTCTTGTTTCAGCTTTCATACTATAAACAAGCGTCCTTTTCTTGGTATATTTAGTGCCAGGTTTTTCACATTTTTCTGCTTTTTGTGAGTGATTTCACTGTTTAAAATGGACCCCAATTACGGTGCTGAAGTGCTGTCTAGTGTTCCTAAGCACAAGAAGGCTGTGATGTGTTTTATGGAGAAAACACATGTGTTAGAGAAGCTTCATTCAGGCATAAGCTATAGTGCTGTGGGCTATGATTTTGATGTTAATGAATTGACAGTATATATTAAATAAGATAGCTTTAGATAGTAACACATATAAAACAAAGTTATGTATTAATCGGTTGATGAAAATGCTTTGACCAGAGGCTCACAGGAACCCAACTCTGTGTTTCTTCCAGAAATGTTGATTCAATATTTGCAGATTTAGTGTTTGCAGCAACTTTATAGAAAAAAAAATACCACGAATAATGAGAATTGACTGTATAAACTTACAGTAAAATAAATTATTTTATACAAAAGGTAATAAATACTAAAAACTCTTCACTTCCTAATTATTTTGCTGCATACTACTCTTATCTGTGATCTTGAGGTTGTTTCTGTCTATTGTATCTGTATAGCAGAAATACTATAGAATGAGGGGGTGCTACTGTTCATTTCTTCCCAAACCCCCATGTTCAGTGACATCAGATCAGTAGTTTGACATTGTCCAAGGTGGGAGTATTTTACATCATGGAAATGGGTAACAGTTCCAAATCAGGGCTTTTTCTCCAAGCTCCCACCCAGTTGTTAAACATTTACTAGTACACAACTGCCTTCAATTTTTTTTTTTTTTTTTTCAGACGACGGTCCTTTGGCTCCTGGAGCCAACTTTGAGGCACTAGAAGAGAACTTAAAGTTATAGGGAGTTTATCTCCTTGTACCTCCACCTCAGGTCCCTTAGCTAATGACTGACTGGTGTTCTTATGCCTCAAGATTGGATTCACACTTCAGAGCATCCCATGGGATCCAGATGAGCTGTGACCCCACAAACGCTTGAGATCATACCCTTGTTTGGCTTCCTCCTGTTCCTGGTCTTGCTGTTTTCTCATCCTTCCTGGTTTCTCTTGGGAGCTCTTCCTTGATAAATCACTTGCACACAAATCCAAGTCTAGGGTCTGCTCTTGGAGCACCCCATCTATGACAGTACTCTAGCAAACCTAGGAAGGAAGTCATGGGGTCTGCCACCTGGGGGTGTGTAGCTCAGGCTGACCCCAAAGATTGACTGATATGTCTTGATTTTCTGGTTCTAACTCTTCCTTAAGAAGCCATTGCTTTCTGATCTTATCCTTCAATTTAAATGTTTAAATGACTTGTAAACAGGCATGAAATAAAAGTTTTTCTGGTTTTGAAGTTGCCACTTCCGTGCTTAAGACATTCACATTTTGATAAAATATGAAAGATCACTGGCATGTCCTTTACTCAGCTTAGCTTCTTGGTAGGCTCGCCTCTGCTGAGCTCAGCTAGTGGTCTTGAACTCTGACATGCAATAATAAATCAAGTTTTCATCAAGTTCTTCTTAGCCTATTGAGAAAAACTCATAAGCAATGCTGCAATAACTTCCTTTGAAATTCTAATTGGCTCCACTGTGATAAAAAAATATGATAAGCAGTCAGGAAGCCCACTGTGGTGTTGTATACAACTGGAGTATGATTTTCTTCATAGTTTTTTAAAAAAATTTTCCAATTATTCTTGCTATAGAGTCAGCAAGTGCCAGTTTGGATGCATGATCTGGGTAATTGTGCAGTAATTAAATGCTTGCCTGGGAAAACAATTTTAGAACACTGAATTGCTTTATTGCATTTTAAAAGGCTGAAAGGGGCATTCAATCAGGTAAAGACTATGTGTTTGTCTTCTAAACAAGACTTATCATAAATTATTCACATGGGCAAAGACTGAATTTGAAAAGGAAGAAACTTGGGGGCATAGGGCAATTATTGCTCCAACAGTCATTGTAGAGTTTAGTAGGCCTCATAAAAGGAGGCCTGTCTCAAAAATTCCTGGCAAGGTTTTGAGGATGAGGAAGAAGTACTTCCTTAGTTAATCTGATTTTTTAAACTGAGACATACCACTCACTGCTGGGGGATGTTGCTTACTCTCCTGAATGCCACTGTGGCTCAAACAGCTCTGTAAAAGAAAGGGTTCGCATCAACTTCTGCTCAATTATATAATTCAGAGGAAAGCATAAAAATATGACTTTGTAAAGTGTGACAGAGGTGAGAGAAACATTAGTATAAACACTGGGCATCACATGTATTACTGCACACAAGACAGATCCTTTACAGGGACTTTTAAGTATAATTATAATTTTGTATTTGCCCTAGAATTATTTTTATTAAGGAATAATTTACCTACAGTAAAATGCGTAAATCTTAAGTGTAAAGGTCGATGAGTTTTTCTCTATACACTCATGTAACTACGACACAAATAAAGACCCAGAACAATTTCATCACCCCAGAAAATTTCCTCATTCTCCTTCCCAAATAACACCCTCTCCCAGAGGTAACCACTATTCTGATTTTTCAGGTACAGGTTAGTTTTATCTGTTTTTGAAATTCATATAAATAGATGTACTGTATTTTTTGGTCTGACTTCTTTCACTTACCATAATATATTTGAGATTCATCCCATGTTGCAGTGTGCATCAATAGTTCATTCCTTTTTATTGCTAGGTAGTATCCAGTTGTATGGATGTACCATAGTTTGCTTATCCAATATCCCGTTGATGAATTTTTCCTCAGTTTTTACTTGCTATGAATTAAACTGCTATGGAACAGATTTTTGTACACAGTGTACACAACAGGGCTATTTGGGTACTTACTTAGTTTAGATATACACCCAAGAGTGACATTGCTGGGTCTGCCTTTGAAATTTACCAAAAAAAATAGATAGGAATTGGAAGAGTTCAGAAAAAATGATTGTCTTTCCAAACTCTGTTCTTAGCAAGGTGAGAAAGGAATCTTGTACTGCCTGGTGACATTGTTTCAGCATTTAGACTTGGACTATCTCAAGTTATTGCTTAGCCATGGGGCTATTCTATTTATTCTAATTCTATTTATTAGAGAAATAGAATTCAGGTTCTTTCTTGATGAGATGAATACAGGCATAGTGTGTCTGAATGGATGGAAAAGTTCAAGAGTCCATGCAAAGGAATGCTTTGTACCTTCAAGGATTGGATTAATTTGAGACTTGTCACCGGGAAACAGGACTGGCTGGTTCACCTTGGGATCACCTTTGGCCGTGGATAATCAAACTGTTTGGGGGAAAGGGTGGATTAGGAAACCTCAGTGCAGCCAAAGTGCCATGGGGCCACCAGAGGTGACCTAGTTGGTCCCCAGGTGATAACATTTGAGATTTATTCTTTGCCAGCAACCCTCAGATAATGGAACAGGGCTGCAGACTAGCCTAACCACACACAGAACGAAGGGCTGACAGACTTGCGAAGGGGTTATGGCGCCCCCTGGGGGACACTGAAATGTTTCTCTTGTAGACCTAACTTTCCGGTCTGAGGTCAAGTGCAACTTGTATTGATTGAGTAACCTCTGAGACATCACTACTTCAGTAATCCTCTTCAAAGCTTTCAAAATAAACAAGTATTTGCAATTTTATTGGGAGCAACTCAATTCAGGGAAAGCTGAAGAGGAATATATGTGATGTGTAAGTTCTCACAAGATGGGAGGGGAAATCTTTTCTGGTTTATTTTACATTGTTTCTGGTAGAAAGACTTTACATGATTGGGTAATTTCTAATATTTACTTTGTTAATGAAGGTGATAGGATAAGATGACAACTCCATCTGCAAAGTTATGCAGGCAAAATGCCTCTCCAAAATGGCTGTGAGCCTTTCGTGTCTTGCTTGCTCAGGGTGTAAAATGAGCGATTCTCAACCCACATCAGTACCACTCTCCCAGTGAGCAGTTGGAAGTGTGTGGGAGCGTTTTTTGATTGTCAGAATGACTGGGGTGTGGGGCGGGGTGCACTACTTCCATTTGCTGAGATGGAGGAGGGAGAGAAAGCTTCAAGTATGAAGGAGAGTTGTCCCATCCGAAATACCAATAGGGCCCTTGCTGAGAAATACTTCTCACCACCCCCCCCCCGCCCCGCCCAGGTGATCTGGAGACATTTATATGCAATTCATATTCAGAAGGTTTAACTACACAAACAAAATATGTCAAGCAAGTGAAAGCAGATTTAAGGAACGTATTCAGAAAGAAATGTAGTTAAGCCTGTTTTTAAGCCTGTTTTTGGACATTTAGAGTGCATGATCACTACCCAAAACAGAAATGGAGCACTGGCCTTAAGTGGAATATGGAGGTGGAGGAATTTGTTTTCCAGGCTCTCCAGCATTTCTTTCTTCATCCTCTTCTGAACAGTCGCTGATCTTGCTCCCCTTCTCCCCTGCTACTTGGGATAAGGAAGCAGCTGACAAATCCATTAAGTCGTGAGAATTTTCTATTACTCCTCCCAGCAGGATATCAGGAAGAGAAGACTCAAATGTTGAAATTTCAGATGTGGGCGAGGAAGGTAGGTGTTTTTGGCTGTAAGATCTTTCTAGAACTTCTTAAATTATTCCTGGGCAAGTAATAACTCATTTTCTTGTGGTGCTGGCTTTAGATGTGAAAACCAAAGCGTTAGCATTTGCTGTAACCATGGCAAGGAGACGGGAGAAAGATTGGATACCTTTGTAAATTTATTGGCAAATGAATGAGTTGAACAAGACTCCTTTGGAGTATATAGTTTGGAAGGTGGTGTGTTTGACATTGCTTTGTAAGCTTTAAAGTACTATGCAATTTTGATATATTTTAATTATGCCAAAACTTCCTTGAATTTCTCAAAACACTAAACTCAGAATCTTACACAAAATATCCATTCAGTAAATGCATCCCAAATGAAACAAATATTAGGCATAAGGAGTGGCAGTGGAGATTATGGAACAGGGTCTCATGTTGCCATATCTATCAAGGGCTAACATGCCTCTACTTGGATGGGGCTATTCACTTAGAAGGAAATCTTGCTACAGTATTCTTTTTGCTTCCATTAAACATTCTGTGGGAGGGAATTCCCACTTTTCCTTTGTGAGCAAGATTGATGATAGATCTCCCTCAGGCTTCTGAGTAACATGAAATTATTCTGTATCTGTTTAATGTACAAAGGAAGGACTGGGGGGACTACCAATAGTGTCATCATTATCCATGAGAATCTAATTATAGGAGCCCTTGGGATTGTTGAAGTCAAGATTGCAGGATCCAAATGTTAGGGATATACTGATCACTTCCTTCCTTGGTTGGGAGAGAATTAGAAATGACAAGATCTTAAACATCTTCCTACATTTATCAAGCAACCATTGTGGCAGCCACTATACTATGCACCAGGGACATGAAAGTGAGTATGACACAGTCACTGCATTCTTGGTGCTCACAGTTTGGGAAGGGTGTTGGCCAAGGAGTCTCTCTTAAAAATTCCCATGCCCAAGTCACACTTCCAGTTCAATAAAATCAGAATCTCTGGTGGTAGAACCCAGACTTTAATATTTTTTAAAGCTCCCCAGGTCATTACAAAGTACATCCCAGGTTGAGAAACATTGAGAAAGAAATCTGTAAAGGGAAATTTTAGACTAAAACATGACAAGTGCTTGGCAGAGGTAAAAGCAAAGTGCAGCTAGAGGAACACAGAGGAGAAGAAACAAACTCTTGCATCCAAGAAAAGCTCTCCGTCTATGTCATCAAGAGAATTAGAAGAGCGCTAGAAAGTGGTGAATTCTGAATATAAGAATAAGGTGGCATCTGAATCATTTTCTGATGGAACAAATTCCCCTTTGCATATTAATCATTATTCATGATGGGGAGTGTGAAAGCAAGAGTTGATAATTGGTACACTACACTTCCCACTCCTTTCTTCTTTCTGCCTCTCTACCCTTTCTTTATTATAACCTGTGGCATATATGTGGTACACTGAATGCTAGGTAAAGGTTAGTGGTTGCTAATATATTAAAAGAAAAAGGGAAAATGAAAGCTTAATGTTTCTCTCTGCTTGTGAGAAAAGCACATGAATACACTACATGGTGCAGTCAGGTGGCTAAGCCTAGACCTCAAAATCATAAGCAATGGCCTTAACATATTAAATGGATCACTCTAAATATATTAACTGTGGTCCTCACAACACCCCTCTAAGAGAAGTATTATTTCTGGCTCATGGGTGATAAAACTGAGGCCCAGAGAGGTTGACTAATTTGCTAAAGCCTATGTCTATTTGGTCATACGCATGAGATTAAAATCCATGTCAGTCTGACTTGAAAGGTGTGCTTCTCAATTTTCATGTTAGCTTGTTATGCCATGTGAGCATGCTGAGGTACTTATGGGATATATGTTAATATCACAGTGAAATAATAGAGCTGCTGGCTAATTTCGTGTTTTTATCAATACCGCTATTACCACCTCCATCACTGAGTGTGTGGATCTGTTGGATGAAGTCTTGAATAAATCACATTGGAAAGGGGAAATGTCTAGTAGGGAAAGGTGATTTGAGGGTTTATTGGGATGTAAGATTACAAAAATCATGAGAGTTATAGAGTATCTAATGGAGTTTTTAGTGAAAAACACAGGACAGGATTTAATTGTGCATTTTAGAGGAACAACCTTCTGAAATGTGAAACCAATTGGCTACAAAGTAGAGACTCAATGCCACAAGATCCTTAAAATGATCTGAGTGTCTGAAAAATAAAATCAGAATGAAAAGCCAACTAAATTTTAAAAAGCAAACAAAAGACAGAAGCCTGGGGATTGCCCCATTTTCCCCTTTCTCTTGAAGAAAACTAGTGAATGTAGTTTTGAAAGCTTTGCTTTAAATTCTTGTAGTGGAGTAATATTTAGATGGTAACCCCTGCATGATCCATCCACAGGAATTCATTTACTTCTCTCTTGCACCATTCAGGCAGCAGTGAAACCTTTCTATACAGATTGCCCCTAAGGTAAGGTAGTTATAGCAAGAAAATAGAAAGAAATTACTTTCCACAGCTTTTGAGTTTCCAAGTAAATTTTTAAGGTTTTGAGCTTTACCAGCATAGTTTTTAACATTAGCAGAGCCAAAGTTTCTGCTATAAACCAGTAGTTCTCAATCTTCTCCTTGCATCAAAATCATCCGGGGATGTTGTAAAGCCCAACAGTGTCTGGAGTTCACCTGCAAAGACTTAGTTTTCATTGATTTTTGTTGGACATTCACATATATATATATACTACCCAGAGGATGCATTGTGCAACTAGTGTGGAGAGCCAGTGTCTTAAACACTTGTTTCCAAACTTTGTTCCACATTAGAATCACTTGGGAGCTTTTAAAATCCCCAGTGGCAAGGCTACACCTATACCAAATCCCCAATTCCAAGGTTGCTCCTGACCAATTACATTAGAATGTGTAGAGGTGAAAGCTAGGTGCCTTAAAAAGTATATTTGGGAAATATTTCTGATGAGACTTCTACTGGGTTATACTTTGACATTTCCAGAGGCTGGCAAGTGAGAGGAAGGTAGAAAGGAGAGAGAGAGTAGGTTAGACATCGGTGTATCCTTAAGAAGTGGCTCAGTGACCTCTGTACCACTCGTCCCTGTCCTTGTCAAGTTACGATGTTGGCACAGGCAGTGGTGTGCTGGTAAATGTTTAAAAAATGGTTCCCCAAGGGGAAAAAAATCCCTTAATTTGTAGTTCATCAATTTTTGGTGTAAACACTCCCTCTATGGCCAGTTTCAAGTTACCAGTGTGATGTCATTGATTGTGAAGTTGGAAAGAGATGCACACAATTGGCCCTAGAAAGCCCGTATGAGCTGGCTCCAGCATGCCACAGAGTATGAGCATGATAAACCCCTCAGATAGGTTTGGGGATCTGAAGGTAGAGAGAATCTTGTGCTTTATTTTCAGGCATGAGACACAGAAGGGATGAAAGAGCCTAAGTTCTCCCCACAACGTGTCATCTAGAGTGGAAGTGGGGGCACACCTAGAAGAGCCTAAGTAGGAAGGGCAAGAGACCACCTCTCAAGTCTCTTATTGCTTTCCAGTGGAATCAGAGAAGATCCAGATTTTTCTGTACTCCTGAGAGTATGATGGAAGTGGCTAAGCATAGGCTGGAAGAATTCAAGGAGGCTTGAGGTTAGAATGAGAAAGCCATGAAGAGTTTTGGGTGATTGGCTACAGATGGAAATGTTGGAGGCGAACAAGGATAAAAGCCAGTAACAGCTGAGAATCAGATGCCGCCTCTTGATGGCATAATGCTACTAACCTCTACAACCCTTAGAGAAGTGACAGAAAGGTCTGGGGAAACAGAATATGTGCTGGCTATTACTCATTTCACAGAAGAGGTTATTACAGGGACTGCAGCCAAAATCTCTTTCTTCCTCTCTCTTTTGTTATTCCTTGGTAGAAGCCAAGATTTCATCTTGTTAGAACTATTGAAATAATGCAGTAGGATGTTTTTCTTCTTTCTTGTTTCTGGAAGAAGTACTGGTAATATTTTGCAAATTCACTTTGAAAAAGAATGGCATGTCCCAAGTTCACTGAGGTGACCTTCCTGAAGGTTGATGTAAGCAGGACAAGATGGACCACCTTATAGAAGTGCACATGCAGACATCCTGCTTAGGATAGGGGTGTCACAGGAGACTCTTTGCTCTGTCTTTGGGATGCTCATTGATGAACCTCTTTTCTGCAATTTGTGGTTACCTAATGGGTAGTGCTCATTGGGCGCCTAGTGATGTTTACGTTAGTTCTGGCCTTGTGCACAGTGATTCTCACATGCTGTGAGTGGTAGGATCAATGTTATTAGGAAAGACTGAACAGCAGAATGAACACCAGAGTGGGGATCAGATCTAAATTCTCATCCTGGCTCTATACCAGTTGTGTGATCATGGGCAAATCCTTAATCACTCTGAGCTACTTATTATATTATCAATGATCCCTTATTGCGATGTGCTTATTGAAACAGCATATACATCTGCTACTTTATTTCTTATTTTAAAGGTTTTCTTTTGACTGTTCATCCCATTCCAGGTACTTCCCCATTTCTCCATTTACGTTTGCAACAAAATTCCTTGAAAGACTACTGTCTATAGTTGGCGTCTTCACTTCCTCATTTGACAGTTTCTCTTGGTCTAGCTTTGTTCTCCTCTGCTCCACTGAAACCATTTTGTGGAGGTCATCAATAACTTTGATGTTGCCAAATCCACTGTTTAATAGGCTCATCTTGTCATCTCAGCACTTTCGACTCAGGCGTTGACTCCTCCCTTCTTGAAACATCTTTTTGCTTGGTTTGTGTAACACTACAGTCTCCTGGTTTTCTTTCTACCTCACTGGTGGTTTCCTCTTTTGTTGCTGGTTCTTACTCTTGTTCCAAACCTTTAAATGTTGGAGTGCTGTTCCATTTTCACACTGCTATAAAGATACTACCTGAGACTGGGTAATTTATAAACAAAAGAGGTTTAATTGACTCACCGGTCCACATGGCTATGGAAGCCTCAGGAAACTTACAATCATGGTGGAAGGTGAAG